AGAAGTGCTCTTCCAACATGGACGAAGATAGACTATCAAGATAGAGACCTCCAATAGCACAGAGCCATTTTTAGAATAAGAGTGTTTGCAACATCTAGTTCTGAACATACCTTCACTAATGCTGTTCGGCTGGTATCGTTGAAGTTAGAGAATTGTGTATGAACGCCTTGAGGATCGCTTTTTGATCGGACTTGTTTGAAGGTAGACTTCTTGGAAGGATTAATTGATATTCGTTTCAGTCTAGTAACTGATACACTCGTCATGTCTACAGTTTGTGATAAAAGCACGCTAGTGATAGATTGATTGAATCGGCTAAAATATACGAAACAAGAAATTTTGTACTTGCTACTGTCGATGATGAAATTTTTTATGTGACTCAGCAACTTGCTTTCGTTTGTGTTGTATAATGTATTGTATGGAAGGACATAGTTGATGAAAAAATCTTGTTTGGCGATGATTAGATTTGGAAGGCAAGTAATGTATGGCTTTTCTCTCTTCTATCGATGGCAACAATAAATAAAATCGACTCACATCTATTTATTTCATTGAAAATCATAAGAAAGCTGGTAAATAAATATAAAGAACCATACATCTACTTTTTTTATTCTTTCATTTTGATTGATTAATGTGAAAGATAGAAACAAAACTATGAGAGGCATTGTCTGTAGAAACCTTTGGAATTAATGAAAAACAAACAGTCAACGAGATTAGATACTAACAACAATGCAACAGTTGCACGTCATATTGGTGGATGTTTACGACAAAAAAATGACCAACTATATATTCACTATTCATCAAGAATTGTTCCATTGAGACTTGTTAAATAGAAAAAAACTTCGTTTCATATCTGCCTCCTTCTTACTTTCAGAAACGAGTTATGAACAACACTGCATTTCTGATAGGGAATCTATATTCATGCTCTATACAATATAATCCTGCCATTGTGAAACATAAGATAAGATGAAGAGATTTTGATACTTAGACAAATATGGTTGGTAAAATTCACTATTGGCCATCTCTTCTTAGTAGACTATCAATTGGTTTCACACATCAAGTTGTTAAAGAATTCGGATTTCCTCGAATGGAATAAAAGCACTTGTTTCTGATCACTAAATGGTACTGCAGCGACGATATTGTCTCTATCTGCATGTAGACTATAGATCGAATTTTGACGAAAAAGTTTGTCATCGCATCCTTTGTGGAACTCAAATTGAGATCTTACATAGATCCTGAATTTATAGAGCATAGGATCAATGTTGGCAAGATCTTCTATTTTGCTACTTATTTCGTTCAAATTTTGAAGATATTTTTATTATGCTTTTGAACGTAATACTTAGTAGTACTTACATATATTAGACGAAGATAGATAGATATTTAAGTTGAAAATAATATTACCAATGCACAGTGTTTCATAGTTTGCCAGTGAAAATTATGAGAAATATTAGTTTACATTTGTGGGGCTATCATCAAAGTAATTAAAAAGAACACATATTGATAGGAACAAAGAGAAAAAAAGAATATTCGTAAAAAGAGTAATAATAAGAGAAAGAAAGAAGGCGAAGAAAAAAGAAAAACAATAGAAAGAATAGATATAACTTCATCATATTGTTTTTTTTTTCAATGAAAAGCTTCCATATGAAAAGATGTTATTAGTGTTGATTCAACACTTGTCGTGCATGACGTCTAAGAAAAAAAAATGAAGGAGGTGATCATTTCTTCTTTTACAAAAATTGTCCAAAACAAAGATCAACCACGTGTACTATTTTTAACCTTCTGGAATATTTTTTTTTTAAAGCAAAACTCTAAAGTCTGTTTAGAAGTAATCTTATAACGGCTGTGTGCAGAAACAAAATGGCAGTGATGCATTTGCTGAAGATTCACACAAGACGTTGTTGTCGTCGTATCTATTGGTGAATTCCAGAAAGGACAAAGAAAAACAAGAATAATCAAGTATAATGTAGAGCATTATATACAAACAATCATTGACGAAGAAGACTGCGAAACATGTTTCGTTTGCTTTAGCTATCGAAATTTTCGTGAAAATCGTTAGAGTTTTCTATCACACTTTTCAATTGTAGTTTTCAAGGACATTTTGTCAAGCCACATAAATCCTAGCTACTTAAATTTTTATTTTTTCGCTTGAAGTTTTTCTTCGCTCCACCTTACACTTACTACCGGTGTTTTTACTTATGGATTAAGTAACTTTGACACTATGTTCAATTTATGTATTGGCTGTTTCCATTTTTTTGAAATAAACACATACTTGAATACATATTCGCATGCCTTCTTTCTCTAGACATTGAATCATCGAAGTCAAATTATTCATAATGACGGTTTAACCAATACACTAAGATCATCAACAAGCGAGTGATTTGAATGACTCTTTCAACAGTTAAATTAGATCATAGTGAAACACAATTAATAAGTATAGATTTAGACTACTGTATAACAGAAGCTCTATATTTATTTGGAATCCTTTCGATGTTTCTTTCATCAAACACTATGCTCACTTTTTAACCAGCTTTGAATAATTTTCCATAAATAGATTGAGAAGTCAAGGTTTTACAGTTTGACCAAGAGAGCGGTATACTATACACGATCGTAGGCTTCGTAATGATTAACGTAGATAGCAAGTGTCGGTAAAGTGGCAGCTATATTGTTTTTTACTTGTTAATAAATTGATAGTACTCGAATAGATAACGGACATTTCAGATGAGATGCTGCTTTAGCGTGTGGCTAACAAGGGAATTGAATGGTTTTGATATCTTGTGAATATGAAAATGAACTGTTTGGGGGTGGTAGTAGATATATTGTACCATCCGTTTCTTCAATAGAGAATAAATCGATTTATTTAAATTAAATTGTTAGACGTGCGAGTGTATAGAGCTCATATGGTGCTTCATTATTAATTTATGCATATATTTTCTTGCTTTTGTCCTGTCGTACCGAGCCTTATTAAATATTCTCTTTTCTTTCTGCTACTACACAGTGACATCATGAGTTTTCTCTCATCTTGCGATATATATTGTCTTTGAAGAATTTTTGAGAAAATTCCCGTTCTCTATCTTTATTATCTTTATATATATGGCTGTTACTCTTCTCATTGTTGGAGTAAAACTGTTCTCAATTTTACAATACAATCAGTTACTTCTGTGTTAAATGTGTAAATCAATGCATTGATTATTTGCAGAAGCTGAAATATTTGAACATTTTTTCAAAAAATTCTTTAATTCTTAGAAATTTCGAAATAAAAAAGAAGATACAGAAAATAAACTAGACAAGAATATATCTGAAAACTGAATCTCGATTTTGAAATTTTTCATTTCATGGCAGCGGTGGCTTCTTCTTGCTTTGAGCTTCTGAATCTTGGAAAGCCTCCTTTTGAAAAGAAGCATACATTGACAATCGTCACAATCTATTCTCACTTTGATGATGAAATGCATTTGCCTATAAAACGGACGCCAAGAAGATATGCTTATTATAGCACTAAAGAAGTACAAGTTAGAACAAACATCGAATGTTTTACTTGCAAATTACATTCGGTTTAAAAAGTGATCAAAATTTTTACTTTTGATTATATTGTGAAGTTTTTATGAAATCATTTCCAAGAGTTGCTTTTCAATTGAAACAGAAAATTATCTTCAAAAGGTTAAAGTAAACTACCTTTGCTAATATTCATTAATCAAGTTATCAACCTTCATAATGTTAAATCTTAAAACATTTTGCCAACAAATGATTTTAGTTCTCAGGAAGATTTTTCAAGATGAAATTCGATACGCAATCAAAATCTACTGGTGTTTTCGGTTTCATCGTCCGTATTGATAGAATTATTGTACTAACACTAGTTTGCTTCAAATGTTATTCAGTGATTAATAACTTGTTCAGCGACTATTTATATTCGGTATCTCCCATGTGAAAATCAAACTTAAAATAGATGCATTCCAATGCAGACTTGTTAATTTACGAAACCTGTGGATAAGTGCATCTAGCATGAAACACATCTACCGTAGTTACGACCATCGGACTCATCTGTGTGTGCATTATTGAAACTTTATTGGACATTATCTTGATAGAGAATTTTGCATACAGTGTGTAAAAGCTGTTAGAAGTTAACAATATGCAAAAATAGAAAATAGAAAAAATAATATAGGGATTTATAGAGTGTAATTGTGGATGTAAATGCAAGTCTTTTCTTCACTTCGCTGATATCTATTGAACGATTTTGTTGCTTAATTAAATATACAGTCTCTTTCTGTTTTTTATAATGAACTAAAATAATTTATTTAGGACATTAAGTTAATAAAATTTGAAAACGTTTTCGAGATATCTTTCTCTTTTCTCATCTCATTCACCGTTTACAATAAGTAGTAAATGAATTTGAGAAGGAAAAAGATATCTCCCAAAAATTCTCAAACATTTCAATAATTAACATCTTAAATAAATTATATGCAATCCATCATAAAAACAGAAAGAAATTTTATATTTAATTAAACAGTAGAAAAACAATTATTTCATTCTTATATGCAATTTTCTGGATTTATTCACTGGCGAGATGACAAGCAAATATGAGTAGAAATATTCTTAGATGAAACTTCATATTAATATTAACTTCAATGAAGACAAAAACAAAAAAAATAAATATTTATCTTTACAAGAAATCATTAATCAAAACACATTATTCTTATAATGTCTTATCATATGTTCTTTCTAACCTGTTAATTCGATTTATTTATCTACTAATATGAATTATTTTAATGAACTCAGTTGTATATTCAACACAAGAAATATCTATCGTTTGTGCATGGAAACCAATGACATCTATAGAAACGTATGAGTCACCGTGTTGGCGATGCTTTTTTGCTCTTTGTACACCTAGATAAAAACACAACAACGTATACTTTCATATCACAACTAGAAAAAACAAAACACAGGCCGTACGTAATCAAATTATTAATATCGAAATCATTTTTTTGTTCCGTCTTGTGTTTTTTTTTTCAAGAATGATATTACTAATAATTTTAGCACTTATACTTGATTTATTCTATCGAATATATCGATATATTTTTCCACATCCAAATATTGATCCAACAGGAAAATATGTTCTTATTAGTGGTTGTGATACTGGATTTGGTCATGAATTAGCTATTGAACTTGATAAACAAGGTTTTAATGTTCTTGCTGGTGTTTTCGTTCCTGATAATGTAATCACTCTTAAAGACAAACTTTCATCAAAAGCTACTGTCTTTCGTCTTGATATTACTAAACAAGAAGATATTGATGACGTATTTAAATTAGTACAAGGAAAAACTAATACACTTCATGCTCTTGTGAATAATGCTGGTATTAGTACAAGTGGTTTTATTGATTGGATAACTATAGAATATATGCGTAAAATAATGGATGTTAATTTTTTTGGACATGTTGCAATGACAAAAAAATTTTTACCTTTACTCATAGCAAAACGTAATTCGCGTGTTATTAATATTTGTTCGGTAGCTGGTATTATTACTATACCAACGAAATCTGCTTATTCAGCATCAAAATATGCACTGGAATCATTTTCTGATTGTCTTCGTCGTGAAATGGCTCCATGGGGTTTATGTGTTAGTGTCATTGAACCTGGACCAATGCGAACACCTATTATTGAAAGACACGATCAGTATATGAATAAATTCTGGAATGAATTATCAACAGATGTTCAACAACGATGGGGTGAAGATTTTCTTAAAATTCAAGCAAAAAAATTAACCGCAAATTTTCTTTATCGTTATGCTGAAGATCCAAGTAAAGTTGTACAAGTACTTCAACATGCAGTTATTAACTCTAAGCCTGAAATAAGATATCGACCTGGTTGGCAATCAAAATATTTCTTTTATCCATTATCCATGATGCCTGCTCGATTAGCAGATCTTATTTTACATCGTGCAAGTTATTCGGGCTTGCTTCCTGCAGGTGCACGAAAACCACATATAGAATAGATTTACATGACTTAATCATTAACATATATAAATTTTTCTAATCAAAAAAAAATAAATTCATCTCTCACCTTCTATTTTGTTCTGTTTCTTTTTTCTATCCAACTGAAAGCAAAAGAAAAAAAAAGATAACAACATACACGTAATTCTGACCTGTTTGTGCGTCAATTTAGATCTTTTTTTTAAAATAAATTACCACCACTGAAGCTAGTTGTGATAAAGTAATAGACCATGCTTATGATTATTATTAGTTTAATTTTGATATTCTATGTATTATATCGAATCTTTTTTCTGCCTTCGAATATTCATACCCAAGGAAAGTATGTTCTTATAAGTGGTTGTGATACAGGATTTGGTCATGAATTAGCTATTAAACTTGATAAACAAGGTTTTAATGTTCTTGCTGGTGTTTATATTCGTGATAATGTAATCTTTCTTAAAGATAAACTTTCATCCAAGGCTACTGTCTTTCATCTTGATATTACGAAACAAAAAGATATTGATGCTGCATTTAAATTAGTCAATGAAAAAACAAAAGTTCTTCACAGTCTTGTTAATAATGCCGGCATTGCTGATGGCGCTGGTTATATTGATTGGACACCAACAGAAGTTATGCATAAAGTTATGGATGTTAACTTTTTTGGACATGTTGAAATGACAAAAAAATTTTTACCATTACTTATTGCTAAACGTGATTCACGTGTAGTAAATATGAGTTCTATGTGTGGTTTTATTAGTCTTCCAGGTTCAGCTGCTTATTGTGCATCGAAATATGCGTTAGAATCATTTTCTGATTGTCTTCGTCGTGAAATGTCTCCATGGAATTTACGTGTTTCTATTATTGAACCAGGTACAATGCGAACAACAATGACTGAAAATTTGGAACAAACTTTGAAAAATGTTTGGCTTCAATTGCCAATTGATATAAAAAAACGATGGGGTGAACAATCCTTCGAAGATTTATTTAAATTAGTGATGAATAGTCCATTTATTAAATATTCTGAAAATTCAGAAAAAGTTATTCGAGTGCTCGAACATGCTGTTATAAGTACTACTCCTCGAATTCGTTATCGACCAGGTTGGCAATCAAGTTTTTTCTTTTATCCATTATCCATTCTTCCTACTTGGTTAGTTGACAAAATATTTTCTCTTGGATTTAATGTTCGTCCTGATAGTGTCAAAAATCAATTGTGCAGTTGATAAAATATAAACATGTCATTCAAAAGCGTTTTATTTTTCATTTTCTGTTTAATAAAAGAAAACAACTTGTTTGCTATTTAAAAAAAAAAACAGAATGTAGAAGATATGTAGAGTCAAGGATAAAGAAAAAAACATGTCAAAAAAAAGGAAAACAAATAGACCTATGGAATAAAATGTAGGTATCTAACTATACTAAAAAGAAAAACTTTACATTTGACGATAACATTTTGTGTTAAACATAAAGCTTGATCGTCGCTTTTTTTTTCAAATCTGACTCGATCCTTTTCTTTTTTGAAAATGTGTTTTGGTTACATTCTGTCAAACGAAATATTTATTACTGTCACCTATATATTTACTTTCATGTAGTGTCACATGTTTTTCTCTTTTGCTTTCTAATCTTGCATACTCATACCATTGACGATAACAACAAATACTTCAAGCTTTTTTTTTTCCCGAATACTTCTATATAATAAATTACAATGTGTCTCCTTATTGGTTTTATTATCACGCTTTATGTCTTTTATCGTTTATATCAACATTTTTTTCCAACACCAAACATCAATTCCAATGGTAAATATGTTCTTATTAGTGGTTGTGATACCGGGTTCGGTCATGGATTAGCTATTGAACTTGATAAACAAGGTTTTAATGTTTTTGCTGGTGTTCTTGTTCCTGATAGTGTTGCTTTGCTCAAAGATAAACTTTCACCGAAAGCTACAGTTTTTCGTCTTGATATTACTAAACAAGAAGATATTGATGCTGCATTCGAATTAGTCAACGAGAAAACAAAAGTTCTTCATGCACTTGTGAATAATGCTGGTATTGGTATAGGTGGTTATATCGATTGGATAACATTAGAATTCATGCATAAAATAATGAATGTAAATTTTTTTGGACATGTAACAATGACAAAAAAGTTTCTACCATTGTTAATAGCTAAACGTGAGTCTCGTGTGGTCAATATTTCTTCAGTAATGGGTTTAATAAGTCCACCAGGCTTGTCAGCATATTGTGCATCAAAATATGCTATGGAATCGTTTTCTGATTGTCTTCGTCGTGAAATGTCTCCATGGGGTTTACGAGTTTGTATTATTGAACCAGGATGGTTACGAACACCAATTATTGAAGGACAGGATCGTGCTGTACGAGATTTATGGAATGGATTATCATCAAATGTTCGCAACAGATGGGGTGATGATTTTTTCAATAATTTAGTTGATAAATCAATAACAAAAAGTCCGTTTATTAATAATGCTGAAAATCCTATTAAAGTAGTACGAGCACTTCGACATGCTGTTATGAATACTAAACCTCGAATTCGATATCATCCAGATTGGCAAGCTAAACTTTTATTTTATCCACTTTCTATGCTTCCTGCTTGGTTGGTTGATTTTCTTATATTGAAACTAGTTAACACATCTATTCTTCCTGCTGGTGTTAATAATCAAATTCAAGATTAGTCAATAAGAAATATTTGTTTTTATTCAATTTCATAAATAAAACGAATTCATTAAATAAAAAGCAAAGATGAATTTTGAACATAAAATTATAATCTGTACAAAGATTCAGAAAACCTGTATTTATTCTGTTATTTTTACTTTTTCTACTATAAAAATGACTGTTAATAATTTATAAAAATTCTAGTATTTAATAATACAATCTTATTCAATAATTTCTCGTTTTCAACAAAAATCTTTCACAAAATCATATTCAGTCTATACATTTCGGATTAAAATAGATTGGATTTTTTTTTCTTACATGTGACATCATTTTCTTTTTTCTTTAACATGAGTGAAACATCGGTCAAGGACGAATGCACATACAGAAACGTAAAAATAACTTGACTGTGTATCGTCATACATATACGCACTTTATTTCTATTTATTTTTATACCTTAAAGTGTAATTGAAGTATTCATTCTTATCTCTACTTGTATTATTACAACGAATCTATCATGTTTCTTCTTATCATCATAGGTTTTATATACTATGGATGTTATCGATTATATCAACGCTTATTTCCATCACCTAATATTCATCCACATGGTCTATATGTGTTAATCAATGGTTGTAATACAGAATTAAGTCATTTATTAGCTATTGAACTTGATAAACAAGGTTTTAATGTTCTTGCTGGTGTACATAATCAAGATAATATAGGTATACTCAAAGATAAACTTTCATTAAAAGCTACAGTCTTTCGTCTTGATATTACTAAACAAGACGATATTGATGGTGCATTTGAATTAGTCAAAAACAAAACAGATATTCTTCATGCACTTATTAATAATACTGAAATAATTGCTGGTAGTTATATTGATTGGACTTCATTGGAAGTAATGCGTAAAGTAATGGATGTGAATCTTTTTGGACATGTTGCAATGATAAAGAAATTTATTCCTTTACTTATTGCTAAACCTAATTCTCGTGTTGTCAATTTATCTTCTATATCTGGTCTTGTAAGTTTAACAGGTACATCTGCTTATTCGGCATCGAAATATGCTCTTGAATCATTTTCGGATTGTTTACGTCGAGAAATGGTTCCATGGAGTTTACGTGTTAGTATAATAGAACGTCTTACCATGAGAACATGTTTTCTTGAGAGTCCAGATGATCATATAAGAAAATTATTGGATGAACTTTCAAATGATGTTCAAGAACGATGGGGAATTAATTTTTTACAGAATACAATCAGAGACATGATTAATCGCCCGCTAGTATTCAATATTGATGATTCAAAAAAAGTAATACGAGCAATTAAACATGCTGTTATGAATACTAATCCTCGTATTCGTTATCAACCAGGTTGGCGCTCAAAACTATTTGTTCGTTTTGTCCGCATTTGTCCTGCTTATTTAATGGATAAACTTTTGAATATAGAATTCTCTGGGACACCAGTTGGTGTGTATAATCAATTGACGAATTAAAATTTGAAATTACAGTATAATATTGCTACATTTGAATTTGAATAACCTTCTATTTTTATTTAATAAATAATTTTTGTATTTATTGCTAATGATTGAATCGTAGTTTGAAACTAAGAAAAATGCTATTGGCTCAATATTCGATAAGGAAGTTGTTCATATATTATAACGAAACGTTATTGACATACGATTTATGAATCATATATTAATGTCTGTCATGTCTGTGGGAGCGGCTTTCAATTTCTATTTCTATACTTCAACATTTCTTTTAGATTGTGTTTCATACAAATGATACTTTTCCCTCAGGTTTTTGAAGATTCAACGTACTTTTTGTTGATGACATATTAGTGTTTATAATTGACTATTGCAAAAGACTTTAAAAATATTTCCAGATTTGATAAATACGACAAAGGATTTTACTAGTTAGCTACTATGTTTGTCATCAACTCTGTAATATTAACGTCAACGTGAAGTAAGAAAAAAAGTAGCAAAAAGTATAGAAGACTTTTTGTATCATAAGTTTATTTACGAACAGAAAAAGTTAAGGATATAGATAACATACTGTTGTTGAATCAAATTTTACATAATAGATTTTGCTCTGAAATTCTATTTCAGTACAACAGTTGGTTTATCTTTTCCCTCTCAAACATAAATTCTTTTATCTTGTCAATGGTGTTGTCGCATTCTGATTATTTAACTCTCATTCTTTATAGAAAAATTGCGACATTATTTATTATTTATTATCAATAATCATCGAGCATGATAATCTTTACATTAGTTATCTTAAAGATAATTATGAAGCAAGTTTATATATTCAAATATTTTTGCATTCGTTTTCATAGCATGAACAGTTCACAAAAGTATCTTCTATAATCTCTATTTGTAGTCTTACAAACAAACTATCATTTTTGTACTAATTGACTTGGTAATTATCTATTATGTAGTTCATTGTTTCGATCAACACGTTTCTTTTTTTCATCAAAAAATATTAATATTCACATTATATGTTATTGATTGTATTATGGAATTTTGTTAAGTCTTATAGCTATGGAATCTGATCCATAAAATTCTCATACGAGATTATTTTTAATTATACATTGAAGACTTTCGTGACATTATAAACTCTCATGAACAACATAATTCATTCGATTAAATATTGAAATATATGTTTACAAAAGTAATTAGATTTATTCATAATTCGAATGAGAGCTTCATCTGTAAATACTTTTCTAGAAGATGTCTTATAGATCTATACTGTTAAAAGGTCATATGTTTAGAACGATACTACAAAGATAAATCATTTCTAAGAAAGTCATCTGTATTAATCCTTTCCTATTACAGATTTTGTTCATATAATTTACTCATATACGAAGCCTTTGTCAATTTCTGTTTCCTTTCTCTCATTCTTTTCTAGCATAAAACTAATTTAAAATTGTTCTTGTTTGTGAAGTTTTCATTTCGTTCTATCTTCATATTGTGTTAATTCATGCAGTTCACTCTTCGGGTATTCAAAGGACATGCATAGATTAAATTGATTACGGTTAATCGACAAAGATCGATTGAAAGAGTATTTATTTAGTTTCTTGAATAGTGGAACTTATAAAATTATTATCGATTGTGTCAGGAACGGTCACAGAACACATTCTTCTCAGAGACATATAAACTGAAGCTAACTATTGGATGAGTTGAAAACCTAACGAAAAATTTTCATTATGTTTATATTTAGTTCTCAAATCCTTTTTATATAATTTCAAAAGAAGATTATCCGTGTTTAGAAATCAGCTGATAATCGAAGAAAAAATAATATCCTTTTAGTTCATTCTTGATGAAAACAATTCTTTTTAGTATTCAATATTCTGTCTTTTTTAGCACGATTGCATGACATTAATATCATATTCATACAAAAACAAGATATTTGTCAATGAAAACAGATATATTTTCTTGTGATTGAGTATCATCATTTAATTGAGTCGAAGTCTTTCATTAGCATTTCGTAGCAGATCAAGGTTTATTTTCTTTTTATTATTTGCTGGACGTGCTTATAATTCGACAAAAAAATGTTGAGTCTTCGTAAAATCAAAAGAATGCATATTGAATGATGATGAATCATAATAGATATCACATATATAGGTTTTCATGATATCGAATGAAAACATAAAATCATCACCAACTGATAGAATTACATAGATGATATATGCTCTCAAAAAAAATTATGTTTACACTAAGTAAACCATTCTGAATGACTTTTCATGAAAAAAAATATTATCTGAGCATCAGCGAGTGCTGTCCTGATAATGGTCTCTATAATATAAATATGGATGCGATTGCACAAAAGACCCTCATTCACATCGATGCCTACACATCTGCGATGAGTCATCTGAATAAATCTATAATTTTCTCTTCTAGGTATCATTTTATTAAGTGAAAAAGATGTGCATTCTTTCTGTTTATGACTTCAAAAAAACGCTTTCAAAATCTCTAAATAAATCAGTTTTAATCTTCATGCTGTTTGTTAACGCTTGCAGGAACATGAGATGATTTATTTAATTTACTCAAAAACCAATCAACCATCCAAGCTGGTAAATTAGATATTGGAAAGAAAACAAGACTTGATTGCCAACCAGGTCGATAACGAATATGAGGAACTGTATTCATAACAGCATGTTGAAGAGCTCGAACGACTTTTATAGGATCTTCGGCATGTTTGAAGAATGCATTGTCTTTAATGGAATTTAATCTAGCTTTAATAAAATCTTCTCCCCATCGTTCTTTAACATTATTTGAAAGTTGACCCCAAAAATCGGCAAATAATTTCGGACTTCCTTGAATAATAGGCGTTCGCATAAATCCTGGTTCAATAATACTAACACGTAAATTCCACGGAACCATTTCACGACGTAAACAATCCGAAA